TTTTTTGGTTTTTCGAGACAGGGTTTCTCTGTAGCTTTGGAGCCTGTCCTGGAACTAGCTCTTGTAGACCAGGCTGACCTCAAACTCACAGAGATCTGCCTGTCTCTGCCTCCCAAGTGCCCAAGTGTTGGGATTAAAGGCGTGTGCCACCACCGCCCGGCTCCATTGTCCTTCTTAAATCCAGGGTAAGCACCTTCCATCACTTCGGCTTTTCCTCAGACAACAAATTCTTCCTCAGGCTGAGACCAAATGTATACGTGTGTTGTATTTTCTAGATATATCTTCCTGTTAGTTCTCCTCACTTAAAATCCGTCTTAATGAGATTCCTATAACATAGTAATTACTAAACCTCTTCCCAAATACTTGAGGCCATGGCTTGATGCAATACAGAAACTTTAGGAATGGATCTTGCTGACATGGGCTTTGGGGTACAAAGCAGCCTCAGTTGATATCTACTTCCCAAGTCGGGGCAATCAAGGGGCAACCCAGAATGTGAGCTAGCTAGGGGGAAACGGTCCAAAGACGAAAAAATGGCCCTGAAGCAGAGTTTTAAAAGGTTGAAATTGATGTCTTGGAACGGTGGAGATGGCTCAGGGGTAAGAGCATCTCCTGGGAGGCATGTGGACTGGAGTTCCATCCCCAACACACAGTTAAAAATATTCCTGTAGCTCTGGACCTATAAACCTAGCCTGGTGCAGAAGAGAGACATGAAGATGACTGCCCCCCACATTCACACTAGCTAGAAGGGTGAACCCCAAGGAGAGGTCCTGTGTTAGGGCAATGGGGGCGTGATAGAGTGGGCATCTGACGTCCTCTGGCCTGCACTAGGAGGGTGCACAGGCATACACATGTGTGCACACACATGCACACGTGGATTTTTAAAAGCTATGTGTTTTTCTTGTTCTGTTCTGCTCACTTTCTCTTAGTTCTTAATGGTAGTAAAACATGGGGGCACAGACGCAAGCAACCGGAAGGTTAACATTCTGTCCAACGTGTGATTCAGGGCACACAAAGCAGAAGCTGCTGCGATGGGTTAATAGGACTATCGTGGCTTTGATAGGCCCACCAGCGTGACCCCAGGTTGCACCGCCTTTTTATCAGTACTACAGCATACCAGGGGCCCAGTAGAGACTGAGTAGCCAAAGCCATTAGCTGTCTTTCCGATGTGAATGGTGGCCTTTACCAAGATGCCACGTTGTAGCAGTGCAACACACTTCTCTCCCCTACAAGCAGAAATGCTTATTTACAACAATTAGTATTTATTTAATTTTTTTGTGTATTCTACCTGGTTTAGAAGTTTAAGAGTTCAAGGTTATACTTGAACATAGGGAGTTTGAGGCCAGCCTGGGAATGAACCTGTGTCAAGAAGGAGAAGGGGAGGAGGAAGAAACAGGGGGAGGGTGGGGAGAGAAGGAATTGAAGTGCTGTAAAGTCAGATTGGCTTATAATCCAGTTCATCAAAACATGTACATACATTAAAACTTAATTGTAAAGAACTTGCCAATAAAAGAAAAACACAAACCAAAATTAATGAGACCCAAATTCTATATACATCTCAGCAAACTTCTATACAGTTAGAATCTAAATATTTTCTTAAATAACTTTTTAAAAACTAATCCCATTGACATTACCCTGAATTTGGCCCTATGCTACTCATCACTCAACCAATACGTGCCTCCCAGGTACTAGGGTACCAATCTGCACATCCGATGAGTGCCTTCGACGTCTTCGTGAAATCCACCGGAGACTCTGATTCACAGGCTGTGCCTGAGAATCCACCGTTAAGAACATCTCTTTCTCGGCATGGGTAAGTAGACAGACATCTACTAATGAAAATAGAATCACTGTTGCACCTGCTACAAATAGACTCGTGCGAACTAGGTCCTACACTCCAGACATAGCTGCACAATGAGTAACTTTTCTTTTATTCTGCAGTGCTGGAGACGGAGCCCGGAGACTTGCACATGCTCTGTTAAGTGCTTTACTGCCGAGCCATAGCCATGGCCCACAGCTGTACCACTGTTTATTCATGCCTCACTCTGATCAGGCGTGGTGGGCTTGAGCTGTTGCCCCAGTTGCTTGTGAAGCAGAGGCAGGAGGATCACTTGAACTCGTGAAATCAAGGCTCTCTTAGATCTAGCATCCAGAGACTCTAGATGGAAGAAACAAATACTTCATACCAAGCAGACAGCAGAGTTCAGGGCCCAGTTGCAACTAATGGAAGAACAAAAAATAGAATCAACATATTCCCCCAAAGAAAAAGATTTCCTGCCATCTTTAGTGTGTGTGCTTGTGTGTGTATACGTGCGTGCGTGTGTGTGTGTGTGTGTGTGTGTGTGTATGTGTGTGTATGTGCGCATGTGGTTTGTGTTTTGAGGTAGAGCCTCACAGCATAGTCCTGGCTAGTCTGGAACTCATAGAGATCTACCTGCCTCTGCCTCCTGAATGCTGGCTGGGATTTCCATGTTCAGCTAAAGAACTATTTTTAATAATCTCAAACTGAGAACAACATAATAATAAAGTAATTGTGGTATATTAGTTCATCATAACTGATATAGCAACGAGAAAAGAACAAATTAGTTAAATGCAGCAACTTAGATGAGTCTCACAAAAGAACGTCAAGAAAGGAAGCCACACGTGAAACGGCAGACATTGTATCAAACTGCTTACATAAAATACGAAGCAGACCAACGTCATCTGGCTAAGACCAGTCTAGTGTTTCCTCCTGGAGGAAGTGGTGCCTGGAAGGAGACTTTTACTCTCTTTCTTTTTCCAGGGCCAGTGCTTGCCCTTGGGCCTCTCTCGCACCAGGCAAGTGCGTTAGCGCTGACGTTTATCCCTGTCTTGGTTTTGCGTCCTGTGCTACTAGTCTTTAGAAGAGCAATTCATGAGCCCCCAGGCTGTCATCATTCATGCAACTGTCTCCTGGGGGCCCAAACGAGAATCCCAGCAGTCAGGGCTGAAGCAGGTTCAGCTTCATTCTTGTCTGCTTAGTGAGTCTGGGGCCTACTTGGGCTACAGGGCAGCCTGTCTCAAAGCCAAAGCCCAAGATTTTCTTGTTGAAATAGGGTTTTAATCCATAAGATATATGTGGACATATAAAATGAGCTAAAAACGGCAGACCCCCTATCAAATTTGTGCTTAAATTAGAAGCGATTACTTCTTGAATTCCTTAGTCAGCGCCTTTCTGACTTCCTCAGGCCCAGCAGGCTTCATGGGATTGGTTGCAAGGCCCAAGCGTCTGGCAGCCTCCCTGGGAGCCCATCTGCCAACGACTGAAAAACAAGCATGCGCTCAGTTGCACAATGTGTATCAAGTCACGCAGTTCTATAAACGGAGTACTTGATTTGCTCTTTAGTGGCCAGGCTCTGGTGCCCGGAAGGTGATTATACGGTGTCCGGTATTTATATCAACCTCAATCACTCACTGTCTACCGACGGGCTCTAATAAGATGCTCCAAGGCCTGCGTTTAATTCCCATGAATGACTTGTTGATTATCTACACCGCAGATTATCCACCATACAGTTTCTTTGTCCTGAGCCAGCCTCTTGTACTTTTTTAGTCCACTTTTCTTACCACCCAGCTGGTGTGTGCAGAGCTGCAAAGAGTCAAACTCATTTTGATGTTGGTGTAAATCAGTGGGGGAGTCATTTGGCAGTGTCTGCAGTCATGTTTGGTTGTCCCAGTTGTAGGAGGAGCTTTTTCCACGTCATGTTTTCATTGACAGACGCCAGAAGCACTGGCTGCTTCATTTATGAGATGCCCCATTACGAAAATCATCTAAAGCGTATGTAATATTGAGGTTGGGAAACCCTGGTATAAATAAAGATAAAGAATAGGGAAGTTTCTTACAATTAGCAAATATATTTTATCTAGACATACACATGACATGGGAGTTATCCTCAGCTTTAGACCCTCTATTCCACAGGTGCCCTCCATTGACAAGGAGATTGGGCATTGCATGCGTGTTTGTTATCTCTGTGCATGTCTTTTCACGGTTATTCAAGGATATGTAACATTCAAATTAGGATGATAAACCTGCCCACGCTTTGTAAATGGGAATGTGCTGGCCTTTGTTGAAAGGTTGGAGCTCGGTTATGGGCAGCAGACAACCGTGTAAAGAAGACCTCAGGGACTCTTGACTAGGGTGCGTGGAAAATATTTTCCTTGTCAGATCACTCAGCCTGTAAGAGGGTCAAGCCTATGGGTTTTTACAATTTTATTTTACCCAATTTTTGTATATTCTATGTGTGTATATGAAAGGCGTGTTCTGCATCCTCATTTGACTCTGATGAACCGAGTTACTTGTATGCTTGGTTCTACATGACTGCACGAATTCTTGGTATAAAATTTCCTTTTAGCCCTCACACTGAAAGTGTGGTTAATTTTGTTTATTTATTTATTTGAGTTAAGGTCTCCTGTAATCCAGGCCTGCAACGAATTTGCTGTGTGGCTGAGACTGACCTTGAATGCCTGACCCTCCTGCCCCACCTCCCAAATGCTAGAAAATCCAGAGGCCTGCTGCTGCCTTCAGCAACTCTAGTTAATGCTGGCAGGTTGTGGTTGGTTTTGTTTTGTTTTAATTTAAATTGAGAGAGGACTCACTGGTTAAGAGCACCTACTGCTCTTGTAGGGGACTCAAATTCAGTTCCTAGCACCCACATCTGGTGGCCCATACTGTCCATAACTCCAGGTCTGGGGGAATCCACGCCCTCTTTTGTATTCTGAAGGGACTGTACTCAGGTGTACACAATCACACACAGAACACATATATATACATAATTTAAAATTTTAAATTGTATGTATTTACTTGTTTAATGTATGTATACATGCGTGTGCCACAGCCCTCATGTAGAGGTCAGAAGACAATTTACACGAGTCAGTCTCTTGTTCCTCCACATGGGTTCTGAAGATGAAGCTCAGGTCATGGGATGTGGCAGCAAGGCCCTTTGCTCACTGAGCATCTTGCTGGCCCCTCATACTGTTAGTTTGTTGTTCACATTTCTTTCAATAGTGAGTTTTCAGTGCTTCCAAATTTTCCATTTCTTTGACAGCTCTTGAAACAGCATTCTTCATTTTAAATGAACTTATTATGGCATTTTATTTAGGAAAATAGCCTCCGCGAGCAGGATTCCTGTATAACTCTTCCCAATGTGAGCCTTCAGCATCTGAAGGATCGGCGTGAGTGGCTCGAAGAAACACGCTCCTGTTAATTGTCCACCTGGGAACAAGACCACATGTGTGTCAGAATTCAAACTCTACAGTGTCTACACTGGTGTCTAAAGGAGAGGAGTGGTCCAGGATCTTTGCAGGTGCTGTAAACAAAACCAGAAGATGCTCAAGGTCAAAATCTTTCCAAAGTCCAACAAGAATGCACTCCTCATGAATGGAGAGTATAAGGAACAAATGTGGGCCCTAGAACCAGTCTACTCTCAACTATCAATGTGTTCCTTAAGCTTCCAAACAGAGGATAACACATGGGGTATACTTCCTAAACATGGCCGTAACTCAAACCCCCGTCTTCTCCTCCAGACTCTGGAGTGGATTCAGAAAGGGAATTGGGTGACATTTTTTTTTTTCTCCTGGATTTCCAGAAAACTGTTGATTTCACCTTGGAAAACTGGGTTCAAAATACATCACAGACTGTATCTTCGTGTTGACTCCGTCTCTAACCAAACTAAAGGGGGATGGTTAATATTATTTCACAAGCCTGGAAAGTTAATAATAACTAGAGTAATTTGCACCAAAGCTCGATTAATCAGTTTTTTAAAGAAACAGAGCAGAAACTCGAAAGCTGTAAAGTAAACACGACTGTCTTCTTACGTAAACTCCTAACTGGAAAGTTAGCAAAGAATCTTTTATAGCCACAGGGATGGTGTGTAAAACCGTCCACATATGGCGGTAAAGAGCTGGTGTACTCAAAGTCTGGAAAGCAAGGTGGTAAAGGACAGTGGTCTGGTGAAAAACAGACCTCTAGTCAAATCCTGATTTGCCCCTTAGTAGTTAAGTGGGCTTTTTCATATTCAAAAAGAAGAGGGAATAATGGGGTTTACCTTCTAGAAATACTGAGTGATACAGTGTATGTAAGCTGCTTGTGGAGGCCTGAGTAAATAGGTTTGTATTTGATCTCTCTATTTACCTGTTACTTTTTGGCTTCAGAGGTGAAATCCAAGGCCTCAAATATGCTAAGTAAGCAATCTACCACTTATATTTATCTTTATTATATAATCAAGCAAGGAATAGTGGTTTGGCTACTTGGCCATGGATATAAATGAGCGTGGCAAGATCATGGCACTCAATACATTTCACTGAATGCCAAGTTGATCTGTAATAAGAACACTTGCTACCCTGTGTCGGTTTTCCATCACTGAGCTGAAACATGAGGTAAGTCAAGTCATAGGATAAAGGGTTTACTTTGGCTCACAGTTTTGGAGGTATCAGTCCACGGCTGGTTGGCGCATTGCTTTTGGGTCTATAGCAAACCATCATTATGGGCAGGTGTAGTCGAAGGTGCAGCTCACAGCAGCCAAGAAGCAAAAAAAAAAAAAAAAAAAAAAAAAAGGAAAAGAAAAGAGTTCTAACATTCCCTTTAAGGGCACTTTTACCACTGGTCCCACCCCTTAAAGTTTCCACCATATTTCAGTAGGACCATAGGCTTCTCACCCAGTCTTTCACACATGAGCTTTGGAAGGCGCTCATCCAAGCTATCGTACTCCTATTCATGTCATTATTTTACCATGGGAAAGTACACATCCCATTCCATCTGTGTGCACCAGCGACTGTAAGTACCTTTGCAGTGTTGTAAATACCATCACAATATGCCTCTTGCTGTAACTACTTTTCCATCCCCAACAAAACCCTGTATCTATTAGACAATAAAAGATTCTAATTTATGTTATTTTAGAATGATCCTCTTCTTCCTTCTCATTTTCCCTTCCTCTTCCTCCTCCCCATTTTTCCTTTCCTCCCCTCCTCCTCCTCTGCTTCTTCTTGGTCACATGGAAAACACAGGCCTTGGGCTTGGGAAATCTCTCCTCACCCCATTTCATCTTCTTAACACTTTTCTTGGTTTTTCAGTTATCTGTATGTGAAAGGGAATGTGAGTGTAGGGACCTGTGGAAGGGAGAAGAGGGTGCTGGATCCTATAGAGTTCAAGGTAGAGTTGGTGGTGAACCACTTGATGTGGGCTTGGGGAACTGAACTTGGGTCTTCTGCAAGAGCAGAGAGCACTCTTAACCCCTGTGCCATCTCTCAAGTCCCTATTTTATCTTTTACATAAAATGAAGCATATTTCTATTTTTAAATTATCACTTAGAAAATACATGTAAAAATAAACATGAAATAAATATCTAATAAAATGTCTAAGCAAACAGTATCAACATTTTGCTATAGAGTTACAACAAGCCTTCCTCTTACAAACACATATGTATATGGGATTATAAATCTAATAAAACTGTAGTACCTATTATTAATTTTTAAGTTAATTTTCTTTACCCCCATTGAAAATTCTTTATCTAGCAAAGTTGATAAAAGGCCATGGAGAATGGTCAGAAAACAACGTCTTCAGTTTAAAAGGCTTTTACAGGGAAGCAATGAGGAGAGAAAAAAAGTTGTTTTTACAAAGACCACCTTATCTGAAGACGAATTCTCCCTCAACCTGCAACTCTCAAAAGCCCAGCTCCACCTACCGCCTAGAGAGTCTCAAGTGAACAGAAATAAATGAAAACTTTTGTTTGTTTGTTTGCCCCCCCCCCCCCCCACAAGGCTTCTCTGTGAAACGGCCCTGGCCGTCCTGGAACTTCCTCTGACCAGCATAGAGATCCACCTGCCTCTGCCTCCTGACTGCAGGGATTGAAGGTTGCAGCACCACCACTACCACCCAGCAAATGGAAATCTTTTAAAGATACAGCATACAAACTCAAACAAGAGGAATGGAATGGGTGGTGGGAAAGGAATGCAGGGAAACCAAATATATCCTTTATATAGTTTGATCATGTAAATATCTAAATGTTTCATTACAAACAAAGTCTGAAAAAAAAATCTATAAAACTCTAATGCCAAGGGAAACAAACGAATCACATTGGAACTGAAGCCCTGCGCTGGGAGGGCAGAACCAGCAGATCCCAGGAAGAGGGAGGAGGAGAGTAAAAGAAAAAAAGGGGAGGAGGAAGAGAAAGGGAAGATGAGAAGGAAGAAAGGGATCATTCTAAAATAACAAATTAGAATTAGAACTTGAAATTTTCAAGTCCAAATGCATCTAATTGCTGCACGCCCAGTTGTGGTGATATTGTGTTTGTAATCTGACAGATAAAGTTTGCCTGAAGATCAGAGAACAGAGCTTAGCCACTAGTTAGTCACAGAAGCCAGGCGGTGGTGGCACACACCTTTAATCCCAGCAATTGGGACACAGAGGCAGAGGGGTCTCTGTGAGTTCAAGGCCATGCTGGGCTGCACTAGATTGACTCAGACTCAAAGCAGAGTCAGTCAGTGGTGGCTTACACCTTTAATCTCAGCACCGGGGAGATGGAGGTGGGAAGTGATATGGCTGGGTGGAGAGAGGAATATAAGGTGGGAGGAGACAGGAGCTCAGATGCGGTCTGGAGATGCAGTTGGAGGATTCGTAGAGACAGATGCAGTCTGAGGATTCATAGAAAAGATAGGGTTGCCCATTTGGGCCGAGCATTGGTAGAGAGGTAAGAACTCTAGTGGTTGGCTGCTCTGCTTCTCAGATCTCTTAGCTTTCACCCACTAATATCTGACTCCGGGTTTTTATGATTAATAACAAATAGAACTCGTGCTACAGCTAGTGCAACCCAAACAGTGAGCTCCAGGTTCACTGAGAGATCCTGTCTCAGACACTAGCAGTGTATAACAGGAAGACACGCAACACCGACTTCCAGCGTCCACGTGTGCACATTCAGACATGCCCATCTGCATACATGCGCACGCATATGCATACACACACGAGTTTAATGCAAATGAATAATATTGTCATTAACAACAAAGCTCTTAAGCATGAAAGATGAAAGTAAAATGCCAGCAAATATAAGTGGAAAGACTCTACAGGAATTCCTTATTATAATATTAAATTTGAATTAGAACTATCATTACTGGGGCTGGAGAGATCGCCCAATGGTTAAGAGCACTGGCTGCTCTTCCAGAGGACACAGGTTCAGTTCTCAGCGCCCACATTGCAGCTCATGCCTGTCTGTTACTCCAGTTCCAGGGCTTCTGACACCCCCACACAGACACACATACAGGCAAAATACCAATGATTGTAAAATTGAAAAAAAGAAATTATTATTAGTGTGGTCATTTCCTTTCCCTACTGAATATAGATGGTCCTAGACTTAATGATGATTTGGCTTCTGTTTTTCAGCTTTCTGGGAACTTGAAGGAGACACGCATTCAGCAGATTCTAAAGGTTGATCTAGCCCGGAGACACGACGGCACTCTTATGGGGCGAGGAGCAGCAGCGAATGAGGCTCCCAGTCCGCGTAAGGTCCCCTAGGAAAAACGTCAGTTCTTTAGAGTGGGTTTCGTTGCCAGTTTATTTTTGTTGTTATTCTGTTTTTGTTTATGCAGGTATTCTGTAAATAATATGGAGTATTCCCTGCTTTCTTATAAGATAAGCTGGGTAGTAAATGATTTTGCCCAGCTGTGTCCTCGTAACATGCTCTGAGCATGTGTCAGGTAGCAAGCACTAGGCTGAGCTACCGTGTTCAGTAGAGTAGGTATATTAATTAGAGGCAATTGGACTTGGTATTTTCAAGGTCTAATGAGTTTAGTGTGTTGGCAGCACAAGTCTTTATAAATTGAGGAGTATCTATGTATATGTGTCAGTAATTGAAAAGGCAGTGATGAAATAAAGTTATGATTCAGGCAACAATTGTCATTGGCTGACGCAGTTGGAAGAGTGATGGAGCTGACCAAGGAGGCTAAGGCGGTAAGACTATGCCGGTCTTCAGAAGAGGAAAACCCAGGCATGCGGGCCTCCTGATGGGTGCATGTACTCTGAGGGGGGAAGGTGGCCTCCAGGTCCGGTAAGCACTCTAAAGGTAGCGATCGCTTACTCAGTTCAGGAGATAAAGGAACAAGTTAAATGACACCCCAAGAAAATACATAGTGCACAAAAGGGCCATTTGTTTGTTTGTCATTGTTGTTTGAAATAGGATCTTGCTTTATAGATCAAGTTGGCCACAGCCTAAAGTTTCTTTTGCCTCAGTCACCCAAGAGCTTGAATTACAGAGTGATGTTTTGCTGATTTTTTTTTGTTTTTTCATGTGTATGTGGGGTGTGTGTGTTTGTGTGTGTGTGTGTGTGTGTGTGTGTGTGTGTGTGTGTGTGTGTGTATGGGCACCACACACTAACATCAAGAATCATCCTCCCTCCCTCTTCCACCATATTCATTGAGGCAGGGTCTCTCAATCAAACCAGAGCTCACAGATTTGGTTAGTCTTGCTAGCCAGCTTGCTTCTGAGGCTGAAATGATGAGCAGGTCACCACGCCCACTGGACATTTATGAACTCCAGTCCTCGAGCGCCTGAACTGCAGAGTCATCTCTCTAGCTCCTAGGTTGCTCTCTCAAAAGCAACAGCATTTCCCTTGTAAGACGTGTGAATGAATCATGCCAAAGCTTTTTAGAGAAAACCAATGAAGCTTGAAATCCCATCTGTTTAAAAATATTTCTGAAGATTAAGCAAAACACACCAGATTTTTGAGTCTAGAGTGTTGCCTTGGCCTCAAAGAAACTTCAGATGCTCTTTTGAAAGCTTAAAAATCCTTAAATATATTGTTAGACATTTTAATTCATTTGTGTCATTTCCCCAAGCAATAATGTGAATCAGATATAACACCTACGCCTATTCAAGGCAATAAAATCTAAATACCAAACTACATGTTCCTGTGCTGGTGAGAAAACTCAGTGGATAATGATGTTTATTGCTAATAAACATTGTGGATCTCTGTGTGACCTAACCACCATCTCAGAACCCACATGGTGGAAGGAGAGAAAGGACCTCCACAAGTACATTGTAACACATGTGCTCTTCCCATAAACAATACGTGTTTGAAAAAATTAAAAACACAAGTTTTCCAAAACATGTCACAGAAACAATGAGTTGATTGTAAATTATGATTACTAAATAGTTAATTTTCCTTGGTGCTATGATACTACTTAATAATAAAACCATGACATAGCGTTCTAGTACTTCACTGATATAAATTGTTGGCCCTTCCAACAATTACATAGATCTCAGTGCCTCTATTTCTCCTATTTAGCAAATTTTACTTACCTAGGGATCTTCGTGGTGCTGAAATTAAAATACGCATATTTTGGTTTACTAGACTTAAGGATCATATGTTCCAAACCAGCCAATTATGATATATTTTAGGGCGTAAATTTTAGAGGTTCAAAGGTTGTTGGCTAAATGCAATTGTGCTTTTTATGTCACATGTTAAAAAGAAATAAAAATTCTCTGGCAGTGGGTGGTGCACACCTTTAATCCCAGCTCTTGGGAGGGAGAAGCAGGTGGATCTCTGTGGAGTTTGAGGTCAGACTGGTCTACAGAGCTAGTTCCAGGATAGCCAGGGCTACGCAGAGAAAGCCTGTCTTAAAAAACATAGATAGATAGATAGATAGATAGATAGATAGATAGATAGATAGATAGATAGATAAAAGAAAACTTACAAACAGATGAATCTGTAATGATACTGAAGATTCTTCCCAGTTGCTGCAGATAGGTTTATAAATCCTGTGGGAAAAAGATATTTCTGTAAATGGCATTTTATTGAAATCAAGAATAGGTCTATTAAAAAAGAGGAGCATTGCAAATGTTTTCTTTATTACATTCTTTGTGGAGTACACTCTGGCAAAATAGAAGACCTTCCAGAAATCATGTCACTGAGCACGAAATCCCACTCTGCACAGAAGCGCCTTTGATGCCAACGGGAGTTCTGTGAATGGAACAAACGCTGAACTTGACCCTGTAATGTTTAAACTGCAATCCTCCCCGATCTTGGCAGAGCCTGGCTTCCCACTGAAAAGAGCTGTGGTCTGTGCAGGGATTACACGGCAGGTTAACAAGCTAGTTCTTCGCTTCTTTTGGAGCAACAGATGAGACATAAAAAACCTTCTTTCAGGGCTATTACGTACTTTCAAAAACAAAGGCTTTAAATGAGGCAATGTGAGCAGGTAAAAGGTGAATGGGAGTTTACTTTGGTAATGGTTTTAAAACTACCTACTACTCTGCTGGCTGAGAATCATCAATGAGTCCTAAATGTATGACAGGGAAGGAGACCAAGGATAAAGGCATCGATTTTGAAAGTAAATATCAACTGAGCCTTGCTTATGTTACATTGTGCAAGTGTGCAGAATGGTTACTAGAAACATTCCAGTGCAGTGATACTTGATTTAATTAAATAAAGTTGAGACAAAATACACATCTTAAAAAAGCAAAAGCCGTGAGATGGCTCAGAGAGTGAGCAAAGGTATCTGCCTATCTGCCGTGCAAGCCCTGTGACCTGTGGTTGATCCCTGGAATCCACAGTAAAAGCAGATGGAAGAGAATGGACTCCACAAAGTTGTCCTTTGACCTCCACATGTGCACTGTGGCCTGTGCATCCCTCATTCCACACATATCAGACACACACAGCAATAATGAAAGAAAATGAGAGTCTTTATTTCAAGGTGAGCATGGTGGCTCATTCATGCATTCCCAGTACTTACGAGGCTAAGGCAGGAAGAGTGCTGTGAAGTTGAGGCCAGACTGGGCTGTCACAGTTCCAGGCAGGTTTGGGTCATGGAATGCCCTTATCTCAAAAGAACAAAAGCAAACCAGACATATAAAACAGGTAAACAGCTGCAGCAGAGAGAGAGAGAGAGAGAGAGAGAGAGAGAGAGAGAGAGAGAGAGAGAGAGAGAATGGTGTATGTGTGTGTGTTGGTCTTTGTGTGGAATATTACATTAACTATGCAAAAATGTGGTATATTTGTTTATACTGTATTTGTTTAATGATGTAAAGATGTATTGCTTTGCCTGCCTAAGACATCTGATTGGTCTACTAAAAAGCTGAACTGCCAATAGCTAGGTAAGGAGAGGAATAGGTGGAGCAGGCAGGCAGAGAGAATAAGGAGAAGGAGGAATCTAGATGAGAGATGGGGGGGGGTGCGGGGGCTATTTAGACAGCCAGACTTGGAATAGGACATACAGAATGAAAGAAAGATAAAAAGCCCAAAGGCAAAACGTAGATGAAGAGAAACAGATTAACATAAGCTCTAAGAGCTAGTGGGACGAGCATAAGATAAGGACAAGCTTTCGTAATTGATAACAAGTCTTTGTGTCGTGATTTGGGAGCTGGTTGGTGAGAAAGCTGGCTACAGATCTTAGTTATGAGCTCCCTCACTTAGCAATTGCTGCAGCCCAAAAACGAGAGAAAGAAGGTCTTTAATCGCCATCTACCCTGTTCTACTGAGGCACTTGAATAACACTGTTAATAAGGTCCTGTTTTAGGCTGTTTAAGGTGGAATGTTTTTGTCCTCCCCTTGTCTACTTCATAAGCTGCCTATCTACCTCAATGCTGAAAAATTGCCTATATATTAGAAAGAAAAGAAAAAGACCAGTTTTTGTTTAGAGAGAGTATATGAGAAAGGTAAAGACAGGGAAATATTTGAAAATAAAATTGAATTTTTTTTTGCTTTCATTTAACAGATTATGAATTATGCAAAAAAAAAAAACCCAGCCCTAAACCCAATGATTTAGAAGTGAAATGTTTTCTTGCTTTCAGTATAGAAAACCTACAGGTCCCAGAACTAAAAGTAGTTCAAGGGCTACAGGTGGTTTAATAGTTGGTGCTGAGGGGCTGCTCCCTGTAGCTGGGTCCACATCCCAGCCCTGTGGTCTCCTAGCTACCTAATCTTCTGCAGCCAGGTTATCTATTAACTGGCGTCGTAACTTACTGTTCTAATAAGGATGCACTGAAGACGAGAGTGAAGCGAAGGGCTTGGGAGACGTGTATAAAGGGCAGCCTGTGCTGCTGTGTCAGCGGCAGACGTAAGTCAGCTACTTCCTTAGAGAGCTGAGGACACCAAGGACACCCGGAGCCATGGACCTTAAAGTCCAAGGACGTTTTCAGAGAGGCCTTTTGTTTCTTCACCTCTCTGCTCAGGAGGCTGAGGATCTTGTCTCCTGGTGACACCAGACAACTTAAGAATTGTAAAAGCTGCCTCCAGCAGCTGTCTTTCTTTTTAAACAATTGCAGAACTGTATGTGTGCATGAATTTATTTCGCCAGGAATGGAACTCCGGGCTTGGTGCATGCTAGGCAAGTGCTCTACCAGTGAATTATACCTGTAGCTTTGTTATGCTTTCTGTTACAGATTAAAAATTTCCATACTAGCCCGGGTGGTGGTTATACACACCTCTACCCCCAGCACTTAGGAGGCAGAAGCAGGTAGATCTCTTTGAGTCTGAAGTCAGCCTGGTTTACAAAACGAGTTCAGTACAGCCAGGGCTGTTTCACAGAGAAACCCTCTCTTGGAGTGAGGGAATAAAAATTACCATACTTAATGCCATGTCATTTATTTAATATATTTTTTGCTGTCATTTTGAAACAAGGTTTCATGTAGTCCAGGGGCTTGTTTCACACAGCTATGTAGCTAAAGATAACATTAAACTTCTAATCCCGTACCTCCACCCCCTTGTAATGCTGGGGATTACAAGCTTACATCATAAGGAGTGGTGAATTTTTCAAATTTTAACTCAACTTCCCCCCACATATATACAACATAAATAATTTCCTGCTTTTTGTGGGGAACATAATACTAACCCCCCCCACTTGATTCAGTTAGCAAATTTTAACTGCCTTCCTCCCTCTGCTCATACATTGTTTTTGACAAATTCATTTCAGTTTTCAAGATATTTCATTCTGTGTGAGATACTAGCAGGCCTTTGGAGGTAGAGGTGTGAAGATCAGCAATTCAAGGCTCACCATGCCTACACAGCGAGTCGGAGAGACCAGAGAGATGGCTTGGTAGTTAAAGAGCCCTTGCTGCTCATCTAGAGGACACGAGTTTGGTTCCAAGCACCTCTCAGGGCATCTGATACCTTCTTTTAGTATTCATGGGCTCCTGCACACATGTGACAGTCACATAAACACACATATACTCACATTAAAAAAAAGAAATCTTGTCAGAGAGTGGTGGTGCATGCCTTTAATCCCAGCACTCAGGAGGCAGAGGCAGGCAGATCTCTGTGAGTCTGAGGCCAGTCTGGTCTATAGAGCGAGCTTCTGTCTTAGCCAGGGCTAAATGGAAAAACCATGTCTCAAAATACCAAATAAAATCCAAAATAGTGAGTTTGAGACACCCCTGGGCTATATGAGATCCCATTTCAAAAACTGAAATGAACAAGAATAAAGAGATTTTTATTTTAATCTCTCATTTTGGGCCTACTTTAGTTTATTTTAAATTTGTAGGATTTTTAAAAAGACTTTTTAAAAATATATATGAGTGTTCTGCTTGCATATATGTATGGGTACCATGTGTGTGCCTGGTGACCGCAGAGGTCAGAATCAGGCACTGGATCCCCTGAAACTGGAGTTATCAACAGTTGTGAGCTGCCATGTGGGTGCTGGGAATTGAACATGGGTCCTCTAGAAGATCAACCAGTGCTCTTAGCTGCTGAGTCATCTTTCCAGCCCTTTTATTTCATTTTAAAAATGATGTTAAGCCTCACTTTGTTTTCTGTTCAGATCCAGGTACTTTCTCTTTAGTTGTCTTTATGATAATCTTCAAGAAGCAAATCCAGGGGTGTGTGAGGAGTAGTGAAACCCCATGGTAACAAGAAAGGAGCCTCTCTCCTTCCTCTGAGCCCCTGCAGTAGCTCCAGATTCCTTGGATATTCTCACAGGAGTCTCCAGGACTCACCGAACTGGGCACTACCAGCCTGGCAGAGAATTGCGAAGTTGCTTCCCTTAGAGGCCCAATCTCATCATGTACTGTTCTTCTGGAGGGCTGCTATGTGACCAACTCTTGTGATTTGCTAGAATTCTTTGCCACTGTCTCATCCTGTTCAGTCCTTTTTTGGAAGCATCTCATACAGGTGTTCCTGCTGGGGATGGGCTTCAGGAATCTCTGCAAATACCAAAGTCCCCAGCTGCTCAAGTCCCCTATACAAAAGCAGAGTACCTGCTTGTCCCTGGCACACATCCTCCCACACACTGTAAAATAAATCTAGGTGCTTTACAATGCATCATAAAATGTGCATTCTATGTAAATGCTTATGTGTAGTGTTTAGGGAACAATAAAAAAAAAGTCTACAAATGTTCAGTGCAGATGTAGTGTTTTTCTTCCCAATATTTCCAGTCTGTGATTGGTTGAATCTGTGTGAAACTCAAAGATACTGAGGGCCAATGTATCTTTAAAACTGTGTTTTCCAAAGCCTATAGCACTGCAATTTGGATAAACTATGGGAAACTCATGCCTGGAAGCCTGGTAGTTTAGGCTGGGGGAACATGCCCAAACTTGACACTCTTGGGGTACCACTCTCCAGCTTCTTTACAGGTGTCATTCAGAGTGACACCAGAAAGACCCTGTCTATATTCTGGGGCCAGGGGTAAAGCATTTTAACTCCAGTCGGCTTGCCATCAAGTTGGGCTACTTCCCTTTGTGTCCACATTGTAGGAGCACCCTTTGACTGTGGCTCAGAGCAGTTCTTTTTGCTTGACAATATTGAAAAGCAATTATTCCAACTACAGGGCAAATAGCAGAAGCCAGCAGGGCGTTTAGATATCCTAGGCTCAAATGGGGCTGTTCAACCCAGAGTTCTAGTTCCTTTACTATGACTATTATTAATATTAGTTTAGTGAGATAGGATCTCATGTATCCCACAGTGGCCTCAATCTATGGAGCTGAGGATGATCTTGAACTTCTGATCCTCCTATCCCTACCTCCTGAGTTTCTGAGTGCTAGGGTTACACACCCATTTATGGGGCGCTGGGATGGAAGTCAGCATCTCTAGCCTGCTAGGCCTGCATTGCACCAACTGAGCCGCTTTCCTAGCCTTATGTGTTTTCAAATGGTCATTGGCTCTTTATACTGTGTGTGCACGTGTGTGTGTGTGTGTGTGTGTGTATACACCACCAGTCTATGTCTTTTGTTAATTGTTCAATTGGACTGTTATTCTCTTCTAGACTTATAAGAGATTTTTATATATTACAGATATTAACTACTATATCTTATATCTTTTTTTTTTCTGTCCTAGCCTGCTATTTATCT